TATACAGACAGTGAAATTCGGAATACAAATCCCTGGAAAAATGATCCCCAGACTACAATATATTAGTCACAATCACATGAAATTGATTGATCAAATGTTTTTTTCAAAACCGTGTAATTACAACATTGTTAATATATAATATACTAGCTGATCCCGTGCACTTCGTTTCCCGTTCAATGTACCAACTCTATATTCCTCAAACTGTGTTCAATTCGTTATTTATAATATTCGGTGTATGGTGTTCAAAATGTATCTTAACTTTTTCGTTGGCCGGAATAAAAATTCTAATTTGCAGCAGTATATTATCAGGTAGGCAATCTAAGATATGACAACTTCATCCGCAATCTAAGATCGCGGACCCCGTGCTGTTTGTACGTAACTGTATGATTTAACTCTTATGTATCAAATTTGTCGTGTTCCACCTATAATGGATTAATATAATCTATTAATACAAAATCCTAACCTAACCTAACCGTACTAATATCAGATGAATAAAAAAAACCAAATTTAACCATTTTTAAATAGCCTGTCTTCTTCCCAGAGGTTTATTTTATACATAAACATTCATTTATATGTATATATATTTATAAAAAATAATACAAATCAACAAACATGCCCGATTAACCAATAGCAACCAATATATATATACACTGTTTTGCTCTACTGTTGTATTCTTTACATCCAGATTTCCTAATTTTCCGATGGATTTTCTTAAAATTTTCTTTCGTAAAAACCTTCTCCTGGTAATTACGAACATCTTAAAAAAAAGTGGAGCCAAATCGGACCAGCCGTTCTCGATTGATGAGGTAACGACATTTTTCACTCTCCATATCTTTATATATATAGATAACTAATTATTGACTAACATTATCGGACTTTATTTATGCCTAAAACCTGCTCCGTGATATCCTCTTTCATTAAAAAAAATGCATGACAATTGGATAAGAAGTTTCGAAGCCAAACCGTAACAAAGATTTCCTCTTTTGCTTGATTTCAGTTTTATATATATAACGTATATATAATATAATATATTATATATATAATGTGCTATCTCAATGAAGTATATTTGAATGGTGGTTTGTTGAAAAGGATCCAAGTTACATTTTTGACAAAAATAGTTTTGTTGTACATTATTCATCCTCTTATGTAAACACATATCATATGCTTATAATTTGTAAATCAAAGACTGATTCAATAAAATTAGGTACATAATGTTAAAGATCACTGTCGGATTGAAAAGAACGAACACAACACGTTTAATACGTTTGTTTAAACACTTTATTTATCATTGACTTTTTGAGTAACAGTACATTAAAAAACAACAGTTCACTATTAATTACAACAGTTTTTAACCTACACAGACGTACTGCGTCTTACACTGCCCGTTGGCTACTACTACTACAATTGTTGTGAGAGTACCCACTTGGATTTATTGGGGGAAAATCAGTGTGTCCACCCTCTACATAATTTATAACATTCGGCCATCCGACTTTGTTGGACGCCCCGGCCCAACTTTCGTTAGCTATCACTAATTATTTAACATAGTTTAAAATATTAGTTTAACATATTAACATAAGATATATATATAAAAAAGAACATGTTTTTAATAAAAAAAAAAAAAAAATATACAGGATATATTTGTTAAGTAGGTTTAATTAACTAAATATAATCCCTTAGATGAGCTGGTCTCTTGCGGACTCGCTTTGGTCGCGTTGGTGTTTCTTCATCAGGGGTTGGAGTCTGGGTTCCTAGATGTTGCACCTCTGTGTCCTGTTCAACTTCTTGCACAGTACTCACTGTCCCATCCTGTTCAGCGTCACTCTCCTCTGATTGTTCATCCTTTTCAGAAAAACGCTTCAAGGCACTAACATGAGCAGTTGTAGCGTACAAATGCCCTCCTGTGTGGTGCAGGTCTGCCAGTTTGTATGTATCTCCAGCGTTCACTGCTGTCACGACCATCGGTCCTCTGAACTTTGGTTGTAGTTTTGTTGAGCTTCCAGTCGACACTGGTGGTCTTCTAAGGTACACTATTTCTCCCAGTTCCAGTGACATATGTTTACGGTGCTGGTCATGTCTCAATTTCCATGTTGCCTGTTTTTCTGCAATGTCCTCGCGCAACTTCTGCTGTGTAGCTGCTGGTTGCTGGTATACAGGAGTTGTGTTTGTCAGTGTATCGAGTAGCCCATCTGTTTTAAGTGCATCATAACCATATACAGCAAAGAATGGACTTACTCCAGTGGTTTGGTTCGGTGCGGTGTTCAAGTTCAATTCTAACTCACTAAGGTTTTTATCCCAGGTGGCTTCATCGCCCATTTGGGTGGTAATTGCTCCTAATAGTGTAGAATTAACCCGCTCTACCTGACCATTTGCACGGGGGTGGCGTACTGATACCGCATGGTGTTCTATACCATTGGTTTCACAATACTGGTTGAAACATTCTGACTGGAAAGCTGTTCCTCGGTCTGTGATGATCCGCTTAGGTAGTCCATAGGTCAACGCAAATGTTTTCAGCTGTCCTACTACTACTCTTCATTGTATTGTTTTTGATGGATACAACTTAACAAACTTTGTTAAGTTGTCTACCAGCACTAAAATATAAGCATTTCCCTTAGAACTTACTGGAAATGGTCCCAGGTGATCTATGTTGACTGTTTCAAAAGGGCGATTACCAGGAGTTATAGGGTGTAGCATGCCCGCTTGTCTCCCTCGCAACTTCTTATATATTGCACACTCTGGACACATATTGATATGAGCTTTTACGTATCTTCTCATACGTGGAAAATAATAGCGCTCCATCATCCTGGAGACAGTGCGTTCGACGGCAAAGTGCCCGCTGAGGTCGTGGAATTTGACCACTAGACTTTTCCTCATTCTCTTAGGAACCATCCAGAGCTTTCGGGGTCCTGTTGCTGACTGCACCAATCTATACAATAAACCATTAATTAATTTATAATTTTGGGTTGTTATTTTACTAGCTGTCGCCTGTTTTAGAGATTCAATGATCTCTCGTAGTTCTGGATCACTGTACTGCATCCCGATCCCTTTGACATACTCTTCTTCAGTTACAGCTACACATACTTCCAATCGTTCAGTGATCAGGTCGTCCAATGTATCTGAGCTGTCTTCAGTAGGGGCTCGACTGAGAGCGTCCACATGTGACATAGCTGTCCCGGCACGATGTCTCACCTCCACGTCAAATTCTTGGATCAGGTCAAACCAACGAGTTATCTGAGAGTTGGTCGACTTAAGACTATTCATGTAGACAAGTGCTTGACAATCAGTAATGATAATGACGTGTACCCCAATTAGCCAAGAGCGCATCCTGTCAAGGGCCCACACGATCGCCATGAGCTCCAGCTTACTTGAGTGGTAGCGACGTTCCGTCTCACTGGTTTTTTTACTGTAGCAGTGCACTAGACGTAGCTCTCCAGACTCGTCTCTCTGCAACAGCATGCCTGCCAGTCCGTTACAAGATGCATCTGTATGTAACTCAGTCGGCCTGGTAGCATCAAACAATTGCAGTACTGGTTCACTAAGTAAATCTAACTTAATCTGTTCAAATGCACTCTGTTGTTCTGGTCCCCATTTGAACTTTGTTTCTTTCCTTGTCAGTTCAGTAATTGGTCGTGCCTTTTCTGCAAATTTCGGTACGAAGCGTCGAAAGAAACTAGCTAGACCCATGAAGCGACGAACTTCATGTTCGTTTTTGGGTTTTGGGAACTCTTCAATTGCCCTCAGTTTCACTACTCCGGGACGTACTCCATCAGCTGATAATTCGAAGCCCAGACATTCTATACTTTTCGCAGCAAATATACATTTGGTTGGCCGTAATGTTAGCTTCGCGGCAACGAGTGCTTCTAGAACTTGACGTAGGCGTTCCTTCATTTCCTCCCAGTCCCTGGCAGGAATGAAGTAGTCATCGAAGTAATTTATGACTATTCGATTCTTCAATCGTCCTATAGCTCGGTCCATCACCTTGGTAAATTCAAACGGGGCATTTTTCAACCCGAATACCATGCGAGTAAATTGACCTGTTCCATCTGGTGTGATGAAGCTAGTCAATGGAATTTGCAAGTAGGCGTGGGCCAGGTCTAATACGGTAAACATTCGGTAACCTGCCATTTGTTCCAATAAGTCATCAATGTTTGGTAGGGGGTAGACCTGTTTCACTGTTTGATCGTTTAACCGTCGATAGTCCAAGACTAACCTCGACTCCCCTGACTTCTTACGCACTAGAAGTACCGGCGCAGCATAGGCTGAAGTCGAATCTTCGACAATACCGTGATCTTTCCATACCTGGACGTGACGTTGGATTTCTTCCCTCTCGTTCCTAGATACACGGTATGGCTTGGCGGCAAACGGTTCGCTCCCTGGTTTGATGGTGATATCCATGGTGCCTAGGTCAGTGCACCCTAATTCGCTCATATTTAATGCAAAGCAGCTCCTGTACTCGTTTACGAGGTTGAGTAACTCGGTTTGTTGCTCTGTGTTCAAACACTCCGGTTTCCGGATGTCGTCGTACGTAAGTGGACGGTTAAGCGGCTCCGCTTTCACCTGCGGAAATTGTGCTACTACTGCCCGTCTGGCGAGTATGTCATTAGCTTGCACTTCCACAGCGTGTTCGGAGTCGTTTTTCACAGGTACCTGTATCTGGACCTCATTCACCATTGCTGTCACTACATCCACGCAATTGGCTTCTATGCGTTTGGTGTCGCATACAACCAACGCACCCTCAGCTGAGCAGCTTTCGTTTGAAGCCGCCTGAGTGAATGGAAATGAAATGGTATTATAATAGGTAAGTGAGTCTCCATGTTTAATGTAAGAAATCTCTGGCGCTTCACACCACGGTCGACCGATCAATAGATCAAGTTGGTGGCTGGTGTCAGGTACTATATATATAACGGCTGCCGCGAGAGTTGCTTCGTCAATGCTCAGGCTGACTACAGTTTTTCCGATCGTAGTGGTCTGAGCGTTCGCGCCAAATCCCACAATTGTCGTGTTGTCAGGCTCCCAAATCAAACCGCATCGGCGTCCAGCACTTTCTCGTAAAATGCATACCGATGAACCAGAATCAATAAGACCGGTCATGGCGTGCACACCATTTAAATATACTTGTTTTTCATGCAAGGTGCCACCACTGCGTCGATCAGGTCCTATTGACGTACACATTGTGCTGTTGTCCGCGTTTGACTTTCCCTCTTCTTTATCTTTTACCGTACAGGATTTGTGGTGTTTACCGCCGAACCAGTGACATGAGGCGCACTTATCACCATTGCGTCGAGGCGAAGGACAATCACGTCGGCTGTGCCCTGTCTTTTGACAATTCCAACAGCGCAATTTATTTTCAATAGGCACTACGCTTTTTTCCTTGTCTCCAGACGCGACAGTACCAGCTGTAGTGACGTTGGCCGGCTTCGCACTAACACGTTTGTCGACTTCTCTGACAGTTTTTGGGCGCCACGGAGTTTTGTCTACGTAGCTATTTTCCGCACGTCCCTTTTGTACGCGCTCGTATGCCACAATATCCGCAAGAAGTTCATCCGTGTCCATATGCCTGGCGGCTAAGAGGGTCCGCGATAATTCGTCCGACCACAATCCTAATAATATTTGTTCTTTGGTGTCTGCGAATGTGAGATTTATTAGTTTGCATCGCCTCACTTTGTTGTGGAAGTAGGTGGTGGTCGATTCGCCCTTTATCTGTATTCTGGCTTGCATTTGGGCATATCGTTGCGAAAAACTTGAGTCCGCTCGAAATGTCTTGTTGAATAGCGATTCAAATTCTGCCCACGTAGTGATTACATCGATATTGCACAGAAACCAGTCGCGAGCTGCTCCGATCATATGCCGTCGGGCCATTTGCAACTTCAGCGAATTGGGCCATTTGTGAAGTTCCGCGGTGGCATTCAGATTATTCAGCCATGCGGTAGCTTCTCCACCGATCTCGCACTCGCCGTCAAAATCGCCAACAGTGTGAGATAAATCTGGCATAATTTGATACGAGTTGTTGATACTCGGCGCTTGGATGACATTGTTAACTAGTAAGGCTAATAATGACTGCAGCGTCGGGTCATTGCCGATCGAGCCAGTAGTCGAATCACCCGACGAACCGTTTGCTTCATTATTCATGACTTCGTCGTTATTAGTTATTACACCCACGAACTCGCGTATTTGTGTTTGTCAACAACGAATGACAACGTATAGTGATACTGTGATAGGATATCAACAACAGTGACAATGTTGAGTACGTGATAAGTGATTCCGGTTACCAATTACCGACGGTACCACGGTGGTCGTCTAATACTTTATAACGTGCGACACTTTACCGAAACGTCGAATGGTTAATGGCGCGTAACCTCACTTTCCCGTACCTACTACTTACTACGTTACGAAACCACGATGCACGCACGCTCGTATCCCACTTCTGAAAATGTTAAAGATCACTGTCGGATTGAAAAGAACGAACACAACACGTTTAATACGTTGTTTAAACACTTTATTTATCATTGACT